CAGCCACTCCATGGGAGAGAGAGGAGGATGCTCCCATCAAGGTTGAATTCTCCGAGACCCTAGAGAGGGCCACCATGAGTCAAAAGTAGGGGCCTTGGTGGGGTAATGGCTAACCACAAGGTCAGCAGGTTTGAAAGCACTTGGGAGAAAGATAAAGACAAGGGTTTCTATCCGCTAGGTGCATTATGAGTTGGGAGTGACTTGATGGCAATGAGGTTTTTGCGAGTCGAAACTCACTCCATAGCAGTGGTTCTGTTGGACTGTTAAAAAGAAAGCTGGTATCGTGATAATCATATCAAGTGTCTCGTCTGTCACATATTTATGTACGTTAGTATGACGGCACAGTGTGTTATGGGTTGGGCTTGCAACTGCCAGGTTTATAGTTCTAAATCATCAGCCAATCTGCAGGATAAAGATAAGGCTTTCTGTTCCCTTACATATTCTGCAGTATCACAAACCCACAGGGGCAGCTCGACTGAGTCCTATAGGGTCACTGTGTGTTGAGATCAAGCCGATGGCAGAGCGTTTAGGGGCGGTACGGAGGAACTGTCGAAAGCACATACAGCCGGGGAGGTATGTGTGTGAGATGAACCCAGGAGTCTCTATTTATAAGCCTGTAGGATTCACACTCAACATATTTCCACTGGCGACTCTGTCATATACTTTCTGGCATATCAAAGAGCTTCCAGTGTGTGTGTCTTCTGTTTAAGGCACAGTCCCGACCCCAAAATAAATTTATACGCAACCACTGATTTGAAATTCTAGTTCAGAAAGTTTTGCTGATCTAAGGATTTGCTGTTAAGTCATCTGTCACAAAAACGTAAGTTTTCAAAATGTTTCCTTCTAAAAATAGAAAGCAAAATTTGGGGTTACGACAATAAACTTGTAATTTTAAGCATGTTTTCTATAACATCATGAGAGCCCTGGTAGCGCTCTGGGTACGCACTGGACTGCTAGCTGCAAAGTTGGCTGTTCAAACCTCTCAGCTTCTCCCAGGGAGAAGAGACAAGGCTTTTTCTGTGCTTGTCAAGATTTGCAGCTTCAGAAACTGTAGGTACGGCTGCTGGGTTGTAATCATCTCTAGAACTGAGAATGAGATTTTTAAAACTAAAATCACAACATTAACAATTAGCATCCATAAAGACAGTACTGTGAAATTCTAAGTGCCTGTGGTACAGCAGGTTGCCCATTTGGCTGCTGACACAAAGGTCGCCAGAGTTCAAATCCACTAGTCGCTCCTTGGGATACATCCGAAGCTTTCTGCTGCAATAAGGATTTATAGTATCTCAAAAAGGGGCAGTCCGACTCTGTCCTACTGGGAAGCTCTGAGTCAGAACTGACATGATGGCAGTGGGTTTGGGTGTGATAACTGGTGTTTCAAACCCACCGCTGTCTGCTCCCATAACCATTCACGGTGTCGAAAACCCACAGGAGCAGATCTACTCTGTCCTGCAGAGTGGCTATGAGTCAGAACCGACTCAACGGCAGTGGGTTGTATCTTAAAAATGAATATAGTTTCTTCATTTCTCCTGTATCACAAACAAGTATTTGTTTCTTAGTGTCATGTTTCAGAGAGCTAAAAATCATTAAACATTTTTAATTGCGGCACACAGTAAATAATAGTGATGAAGGCACGTAAGGTATAACAAAAACTTTAATTGGATATTAAAATTTTCTCGTCCATTAAAGTGCCTATCAAATGTACACAGAGAGATAAACATCACATCATTCTCAAACTGAGTAAGTTGAGATGGATAGGCAGGTTATTCACAACATGACTTAATTCACTGACTAACAGTAAAATGCAAAACCCCCTTGTGGATCTGAATGCCAATGTCAGCATGCTATTTCTGATTCTAAGACAAGGTCCACTGGAGCACCTGAAACTCGATGGCTCTTACCCGACCCCCACCCCCACCCCCACACGTCCTTGGAGACAGGATTTCTAAGCGCAGCTCTGTTATGATCAAGGGCTTCTCACTGGTGGTGGCGGTGTGTGGCCATATGCTGCCGACGCCTAGGGGCCTCATGGGACAGAGGAGACCACCCCTTTAAAGCTGACAGTACTCATCAAAAAAGTAGCCTTTTCCAATTATTTCCTTTGTTAAATGTAGCAAACTATGTCCACCCTCCCCAAAACAATCCTATTATGTGAAGTTCTTCACACTATAATCTTAGATGAAGTGAAATATCGTAAACAGATCGGATGACTCAACTATAAACACCCAGGACAAAAGAAACTGCTCTGGTAAGAACATAATAGCTTGGATAGCAAGTCAATTATTAGACGAAGACATTTCCAGAGTTCTGACTAGACGATTTTTTTATACTATTTCCATCTTTCATTACAAATCTCTCAAAAGTATTTGTTCAGCCTATATGTGAAAATAAAGTTGGAATAAAAGAGCACTCAGCCTATAGCATGAAGCCAATGACTTCTTTGGTGTAACATAAGCTTTTAGCTATAAAACTAGTGATCCAAGTCTACTATATATTTCCACTTAAGCCAAAAGTCAGACTCTAGTGTTTAATGAAATGTTTAGACTCATAAAAATGATTTAAATTTTCATGGTGTAGTCTCGAGTACACACTGCAAACAGTGATCTCTTTCTAACCAGTCACGCAAATTAAATGCGATTCATCTGCTTCTATTGTCAGTATGGCCTGTATGGCATGCAGGTACTCCTTACGTTTCTAATTGCTAACATTCTAGCGACGTGGTCAAAAGCATGAAGAACGTGACAAGTCCTATGTCAAACTTATCAAAGTCAGTCAATAAACATTTGGGGAGAGGATTAAAAATTGCTCCCATTCCCTGGGAAAATTCAGGATGAGGAAAAACAGTGTCCTTTTGTCAAGTATCATTCAAGCAAGCATGGGGAAAGCAGAGCAGGTGCCACAGCTTGTTCAGCTCCCCACGGAGGGCCACCACCTCGACAGGAGACCCTTCACGCAGTGCAACTTCGGTCAACGGCTTTCAAGTTTGCACCTGAAGGACCAGTAGTATTTTTTAAAGATTCTGACAGAAAATCACTGAGCAGTCTCGTTTTCCTACTTAATTCAAACACGCATGACTGCCTGAGAACCGGCACAGATGGAGCTGTGGAGGAGGTCGTCTTTCCTGGCCATTAGGTACCACTGTACCCCAGGGCAAGAAGGGGCTAAGGCTAATTCAGATGACTTATCAGAGATAAACACCAAATCTCTTTTCTCACTCATTCTTTCCCCAAACAATGAAATCAGTGATGTACTAACTACTCAGAACTTGTAAGAAGAAAAACACTTCATTTTTGGCCCAGAACCTTAAAGCTCTTGTAAATCTCAAGATCATCATGGTAAACCGAAGCTGCCCCACCTGAAACAGCTGGTGGGGGTGTTCTAGCACTTTGGAAGGCATGACAAAGGGGCTCAGGAATACGAGATAAGGAGAACATGTGAGGAATGGCTAGAACTGCTTAAAAAAAAAAAAAATGCCAGCCCTGACCCGATAAAAGCCTTCCTTTACAAACTATAACACAATGGTTTCCTATGTATGCGAGTATGTGTGTACACACAGACAGGGGCGGGGGGACACGGACCTCAGGGTGCACAGAAAAATTCCCTATCATTTATAATTCCATTTGTTCACTCCCTATTTGAAGCCTACTCATAGACGTTAAATCCCAAAGGAGAGATAAACAGCAAATAAAAACTGTAAAGCAAAAGCAAATCAACAGGAACATGGCTCCATGCCAGTGGTCCTGCTGCTCCTGTTTCCCTCGAGGCTACTCTACCATGTGTGTCACCAGGGCATACAGGGCACCTGGGACACAAGTGTGCACGCATCCACCAGCGCCACTGTGCACTTGGTGCCACTCGCTCCACATGCGCGAGACAACTGACCATTAAGGCCTTTCATGCTGGCACTAGCTCCCAAGACCAGCTAGGAAGTGTGTGAAAGAGAACAAGGCAGGCATTTGTGGGGAAATCTGGCTTCATGATTAACTGGTTTATAAAAGAACTGCCAGACCTCCCAATTCTTTCTTTCCAATACTTCCTACTTTCCCTTCATAAAAACTAGGAGGAACATTATCACCTACATTTGGGCAATTTCCAAATTGGGTCTATTTCGCTCTCTAGACTTTGTCAGCTTCCGGTTTTTCTCTGTATGTGCGTGAGGCTAAACGCCCAGAGAAAGGGAGAGAGCACCCTTGGGCTCCCAGCCACGGCAACCACACTAGGGAGGCTGCAGGGCTGTCCCGCCCCCCCACAGCCTTCGCTGGCTGCTGTGAGGGGCAAGAGAAAACTTGTGCAACAAGCGAGCACATGCTGCTTATGATGCGAGGTTTGCAGAACTTGTAGATTGAAAAAATACAATTCCTAGAACACTGTTATCAAACAAATAAGTTTTATTGGCATCTAAAAACAAAACTCACCCAACATTGAAATGTACTTTAATATTTACGTTGTTGTTGCTGTCTTTGTTCTTTTGTTACGCACTGCAGAAGAGGAACGAGTCAGACACGGACTTGTGAGAAACAGACCATCGTGTCGGTTTTACAAGCCCCCGTGGAAATCTCTGCATGTGCTCCTCGCATACCTAGAGCCAGTCTTTGCATAAAATCTCACAGCTTTGTCTATTACCGTAAAAGTCTGCAGCAGCCTAGAAACCCGGGCCAGGGACACCACCGCTTGCTATCTGGAACATCTCTATTACCACATCCAACCTAGTGGCAGTCTCTAAAAAAAGGCTTTCTTCCACAGGAAGGCTCTGACAAGCTGTTACTCATTTCCTTGAAGTTAAAAGAATCTGGGGCAACATTTATATTTTACCAGAAAAATAAAAAACTGTTTTCAGCTACCATGTTCATATTAAGAACAATGTCTATACAAGTCAGTTGTACAATTATTTTAAGAGAAAGGAGAACATGAACATCAGATTAACTTAATTCTGGCAGACAAAAGTGAACGCCTGAGGTCCAGTCAGCCATTAATCTATTACAGAGAGATGACAACTTTACCTACTGAGTGATGATTATGTCCCCTCAGTTTCTGTGCTTTCTACCACTGGTTCACTTTCTACATCAGCAACTGTGTCACTCTTCTCCTTGCTTAGCTCACTCGAGGAGGGCAGTTTCTCATAGAGTCCGGGGTCCTTCTGGACTTGTAATGATGCCGGCTGGGCATGTCTTTCTGTGTTCTCACCATTCACCTGAGGCACAGTGTCACCTTTTCGTTGAGAAGCAGCCCCTTCAAAATAATCAAAAACCCGAGCATGGGGAGGGGGTACCCAGGTGTTTGGAATTCTGTCTCGTCCAAGGCGGTTTCCATTCATTTCTCTGCAGAAATCAAAATCTCGGTCATCCCTATCCCTCTGTCTCTCCCAGGGTCTTCTGCGGTCATCGAAATCTCTGTGGACTTCTTGTCCAAATCCTCTGTTCCAAGGACCACTTCGAGGATCAAATCTATAGCCGCCGGGCCGAAATCGACCCCTTTCTTCATGCAAGCCTTTTGGTCCACCAAAGATGGGCAGAACTCGATGCTCTCTCTCATCAAAATCTCCCCGGTGGCCCCAAGGCTTCTCTGGGTTAAAGCCAAAGTGGTCTCTTCGACCAAGATGCTCTAGGCCTGGCCTCACAAGGTTCTCCCTCATGTCTACAGGAGGTCTTCCAAAGTGCTCCCGCCCATCTACAGGAGGCCGTCCGGGGCCTTCTCTAGGATCTACCGGCCGCCCAAGTGCATCCCTAACATCCCCCGGGGGCGGCATGCTCAGGCTTTCCCTGGCCTCCAGTGGAGGAAACCGGTAATCCCGGTCCCCTTCTTGCTGGATGGTATCACTGCCAAGGGGCAGCCTTTTGTCTGGGTTCGGAACACTGTCTACGCTTGGCCTTCCGGGAGCTAGAAACGGTCTTTCAGGATGATTAAAAATGTCCCCTGGAGGAAAAGGGCCCCGGGGGGGTGGGTGCAGGGCGGACTCAAGTACTGATGGAGGAAGGAGGCCTCGGTGGGGTGGAATTCCAGGCTGCATTAAAGGGAATCGAGGCCCAGGCATCTGGGGCATCAGTCCTGGACGAAGGTCAAGCATTGGCATCACAGGCATTCTTTGAGAAGAGATATTCAGTGGGGGTAAGTTTTGAGGCCCAGCTGGTGGCTGTGTTCCCATAAGTCCAGAGGCACTGGGAACAGTTGGAGGCTGTATTCCTACAAGTCCAGAGTTGCTGGGCATATGTGGGGGTAACACACCCATAAGTCCAGAGCTACTCGACACACTGGGCGGCTGTAATCCCAAAATTCCAGAGTTAGTCAGAAGATTTGGTGGCTGGGCTCCAATAACCCCCGAGCTGCTGGAAACATTTGACGGCCGAACTCCAAGAATTTCTGAATTACTCGGTATGTTTGGTCTTTGAACTCCCAGAATTCCAGAGCTGTTTCCCATATTTGATGGCGGTCCTAGCATTGCAGGGCTACCGGAAACATCATTTGGAATCACTAAAATGCAAATAAAGGGGTGGGGGGAGTGTTTGTAAATATTCATAAAAGTAGTCATTCTGGCATAAAAAGATCACCATCACATTTATAACAATTAATATCATATTCAGTAGTTAGCTTAATCACCTACTTTATCGACCCAAAACTCAATGTGTACTAGATATAAAACAAAAATTCCAGATAAAATTATTAATGCTATCAAGAGTAATAAACACTTAAAAGTGGAGCTGTAACCTTAACCTGAAATCTTTAAACTGACCAAAATGCCCGCTTTGATAGCAATACTTCACTTTTAAAAAGCATTCCTAATCGCTTCTCTGTCTTTTGGCTAGGATCAAGTGTAGTATCTGTTCTTATCAGTTTAATATCTGAAACGTCCTCTATCTGAGGGAAATATATGAAGTGAATTTTTGCAAGTAGAAGTTGGACTAGAAACTTGCTCCATTCACTCCACGCATCAACCTGGTATTGCAGTACTTCCGGGAATGGTGCAGCCCCTTAGGGGGGTCCTTAAAAAAATAATAAAAAGCATTCCTAAAGCACATACAGCCCTTAACAAAATAGCCATCATTCCTACATAAAAGTACCATCTACTTTCGAATGACCTATACAGCTTCCATAAAAGTTTTGGCTCTAAGTTATTGAAACCTAATACTTCACTTTTATCTTGCTGTAAGATAGGACATTCTTATACTTAAAAGGGTGATGATTTAATTTATGCACTCACCACTAATGTCAAAGATGAACAAAATTAGATTTTTACCTACTTCAACCATCTGATATTGATCAATCCAGCCATCAAGATGCACTGGTAATTACTAGTGATTACAATGCAATCTTTTAAAATATGGCTTCAATGACAATGATGAGGCTAGAGAGGGGATGGAGAGACGTGCGAGACCAATGATGTCTTCACTGCATGTTTTTCATCAACCTCGTGACAATGTACTTTAAACTCATGAGGTGGGATAGACAGCAGTCAAATCAATGACATCGGCAGGAAGAGGTGAAGAAGCTGCTCAGTTTCTTATGTCAAAACAAGGCCAGCCTGATGGCAGAACAGGTCATCAAACTGTTTATAATTAAATCCAAGTAAAACTGAAGAAAAACTTTAAAAGACCAAAGCACAGCCTTGGGTATATTTTAAATTTAGAGACCATCTCAAAACAGGGTTGATGCATATGGAACACTAATGAGAGAGGAGTTGCAGGATGACGTCACACATGAAGAAAGGGTCATTGAAAGACAGGAAAGAAAGACAAGGCCAGTATAGTGTTAGAAGAGGCCCTGAAACTTGCACTTGGAACAAGAAAGGAAGTAGTTACAGCAAAAAGAAAATGCCATGGACCAAAAAAGCTGATCAGACAATTCCAAAGGCGGCCTGAGAAGGGAAAGTAAAATATTAAAATGAAATATATAAGGACCTGGAGTTAAAAAGCCAAGATACACATGGTATTACTTTGGCTGAAAGAATTGATAAAAAGAGTCAAACCTTGAGTTATATAATACTGATGATTTGTATTGCAAAAGATCGCCCATTGCAGGAAGCATCAAAAGAAAATGGAAAGAATACATATAGTCACTATATGAAATAAAAATTTCTAGACATCCCTGTTCTAGAAGGTAGCAGAGAGTCCAGAAGCAACACTGTGAAAGAGACCCAAGCTGCACTGAAGGCGCTGGTGAAAAATAAGGCTCCAGAAACTGACAGCAGACTGGTTGACATGTTTCCACAAACTGACGTAATACTGGAGGTGCTCATGTGCTGATACCAAGAAACGTGGAACGCTGTTAAACTAGGCTAGCCAGACCACTTGGAAGAGATACATACTTGCAACTCATTCCAAATAAAAATCAAGTCAGGTGAACGCGGAAATTATCAATGTCATTAATATCACATGCAGGTAATATTTCACTGGAGATAATTTTTAAAAGGTTGCACTAGTGCATTAATAGGAACTGTCAGACATTTGGGCTAGATTTAGAAGATTTAAAATAAAGAATATCATTGCTGATGTCAGATGGATCTTGGCTGAAAGTAGAGAGTACTAGAGAAAGATGTCATACTTGTGTTTTTTGTGTAAACAAAGACATGGAAAACAAGGCAAAGGATGAGATTTCCAGAACACTTAATAGGGCTCGTTCGGAACCTATATAAAGATTGAGAATAAGTTATTCCCAAAGAAGGGAAATCTCATGGTTTCAATTCAGCAAAGAAGTGTGCAACAGACAGGGTTGAATCTTTTCACCATTTGCTCAATCTGTCTACTGAGCAAATAATCTGAGAAGTTGGACTATATAATGAAGTATGCTGCAGTAAAAAACAGCTGCAATGTGCAGATAGCACCACTGCGCTTGCGAACAGTGAAGAGAACCTGAAACACTACTGAACCATATTGAAGGTGCGTATGCACTATACCTCAACATAAAGCAAACGTCCTCACAACTGGGCTAATAAGCAACAGTCAAGAAATCAAACAACATATTCCATCGGGCAAAAGACCTCTACGATACAGTTAAAAGCAAAAGTTATCACTTTGAGGGCCAAAGTGTATCTGACTCAAACCATGTCCCGCCTGTCCCCGCATCCATTATTTCATACGCATGCAAAAGCAGGACAATGAATTTGAGGAAGACTGAGGAACTGCTGCCTTTGAATTACGGCATTGGCAAATAGTGGATATACCCTGTAATGCTAAAAGCACAAACACTCTGTCTTGGAACTATATCAAGAGTATCCCATTGGAGGCCAAGATGGTGAGACTGAGCATGTTATCAGGAGCAACCAGTTCCTGGAAGGCCGTGCTCAGTCAAGTAGGAAGTCAGTAAAAGAGAGGAGGCCCCCAAATGAGATGGGCCCTATGGCTACAGCAATGAGCTCAAACACAGCAACAATCATGAGGATGAAGCAGGACCAGGCAGAGGTCTGTACTGCTGCACACATGGCTGCTATGAATCAGAACCAGCCTTTTGGTACCCAACAACAGATTTTGTGCAACTTTATTGGACAAGACATTGAAGGAGTCCCAAAAAGGCAAACACAAAACCAAATTTCTTAATGGAAAAATGTCAAACCTATGCTGATAAATGCTTGGGTTGGGGTTGGGGATGATCTTAGTAAAAATTTTAAGCAGCTGTGATCTTTTATAACATTGCATCATTTGAACATTTATGCACTGAACCAGTTACAAACATGCATCATTCAGAGTTAGATCCCTGGCCCTGGGGTGAAAAAGCTTAGATTTCTCCAGGTACTTCTTTCTGGGTCCTAGGCTGTTGTGTTGCATTTACCTGCTCTGGGGTTTTCACCAGAAGAAAGCTGGTGGTCTGGAAGATGAGGTCCTTTTTCTTCAGGATCTGGTTTTGTAGGAGGATTAAAAACAACACTTCCAGCTGGCAGTGTAGCTGCTGCAAGACCACTGGGAACAGAACCACCAGCCAAAACCAGGCCCCCAAAACCAATGTCTTTCACAGTCTCTGGTGTCATGGATAATGGTGGCTGCACTAAAGCTGTTTAAAGAGGGAAAATATATTTCAGATCAATCAATTCACAAGCTCTTGGTTAAAATAAACAATGGCATAGTTAATCTTGTGAAAGGGTTTTCCTGTCCTCTCCTCAAATGTTGAGTAGCTGCTCACTCAGCATAACATTCTCTCTGGGTTCTTCTGTGTTACTCATAACGAGAACTTCTGGCCTCTCTGTAGTACCAATCACACCAAATAATCACAGACACGCAACATGAGAACTGAGTCATCGTGGAGTCTAAACTGCAATCAGAAAAGCTTTACATTGTGAAAACAGGGAGAATCCTACTTTAAAAAATTGATTTTTTTCACACCAAACTTCACCTGTCAGCCAAAAGACAAAGTAGTTCATGAAATAACTAATACTCTGTGAACCCTGTGCCCCTCTAGCAATACTGTAAATGAGACCTAAGGGTCACCATCTGGCCCAGACCCCAGAAAGGTGGGGCAGAGGGGGGAGACATGGACAACGAAGAAGCTAGATGAATGAAGAGAGAACCACCAGGAAGAAAATGACACACTCCTTACAGCATAATCAATGTCATCTCACAGTACATTTATAAAGTATTCAATGACAACCTCATTAGCTATGCAAATTTTCTCAAAAAGCACAATTAAAAATACTTAGTAAAATAAGGATCAGCGCTTAACAAGTAAATCCCAGTAATCGGTAAAGTCATTATTGTTCCAAGGACTGCAGAAGGGAAACATACAGAAGGGTTCCGGCAGTTAAGACTCACAAGTCAGGTTGAGAATGAGCACCTGCCTCATTCCTCTGAACAGAAACCATGCTGGGGTCCTTTGTGCATAAACAGTTAATAGGCTCCACCCCTGAGAGTTTTCTAGTCCACCCAGCTGCCTATTTCGTATTTCTGAAGTGCTGGTGATGTCCTTCTGAAAAATCAGCCTCTGAAACACCCCCAGCCCCCATTCTCATCTGGCTCAACAGCCACGGGTACTGGTAGGATCCTTAGGTTCACTAGCTTTTGTCAAAAAAGGTTAGCAACTCGTCAAAGTAAAGCGGACTACAAATATGATGAAATAAACAGTATTCCATTTTAAAGAATGGGTAGAAAACACCCTAGGAACATTAGAATACAGAAACCATAGTGATATGATTTTAATTTTCCATGTGTTCATGTCATTTAGAACAATGTTAAACCACTTACTCGGGAATTTTAGGCGCATTTATTACATCCTCACGCACAGTAAGATTGCTCGCACAGGGCAGCTAAAGTAGGAGTAAGACGCCCTGTGAGTGCATGGCAACTATGAGCACGACATGTTACACTGGCAGCCACTAGGGGAGCCCATGCACAGAGGACTCTCTCTCCCCATTAAGTAGTCCTTGACTGTGCAAAAGGACACTGGGAATAAAAGAGTTTCTTTGAAAAATCGATTCAGACATGGGGTCTGAACACTTTAATTTCCAGAAGAAACTAACATTTCTTCCCAATTAACAAAGAAAGAAAGAACGAACCTCACATTATCTATCCAGTGCAGAGAGGTGTTCAAGGGCAGAGGCAGAGGGCTGCAATCAGAAGCTAAACTCTGTGTCTATCACACTAGAGTCCCAGACAATAAGGCAGCACTAACTTTTGAGGCACGCCTGCCAAAATTACGTTTGTTCAAAAGAATAGCAAATTACCATAGGTAAACAAATTAAATACATGGGAAAATCTTTTTTTTTTAAATTTTTTAAAGGTATGTAGTATTTCAAAAATGACTGTAATTGGTTGGGGGGGGGGTTATCATCATTAAAAATATAATAAATGTTTACTTTCTGCCTGAATTGCATCCTTTTGAAATTTGTCTTTTAGGAGAAAAACTGGAGATGTGAAAGCAGGCTGGGTGAGGTCCCACAATCACCTAGAATGGTTCTCAACCTGTGGGTCCCGACCCCTTTGGGCAGGGGGCCGTCAAATGACCTTTTCACAGGGGTCGCCCAATTCTTAACAGTAGCAAAATTAGAGTTATGAAGTAGCAACAAAAATAATTTTATGGTTGGAGGGTCACCACCACATGAACTGTATTCAAGGGTCACAGTATTAGGAACGTTGAGAACCACTGATCTAGATAAAATTATCAATTCAGGTGATGGCAGGAAATTGCAAGTCTCTTCTGAGGACAAAGAAATTTTAAGTTTTTTCTAGTGGTCTTACTGCTGGGAATAACTGGTTTTCTATTTTCAAATATACTGTAGGATAGTAGAAATGAAGGGCACACTGACATTTTCAGTGACAAGAATTACTGAAAGTAAAAGCAGCTAACTAAGAAACTCCTGTTAGCATTGTTGTGGCTGTCTTATATATTCACTTTTCCCCCCAAATAAGAAAAGTCCCCAGAGCCCATGAGAACCCAAGAGCAGAATGAGACTCTAGTGCTCAGACGGTGATCTCACAGCTGGGCCCCATTCTCAGAATGGAACAGAAAACACACCAGGTACATCTGCAACAAACTGGGGAAAAAAAGTAAAAGCTCTCAAAAACAAACATCAGGTCAAAAGGACAGCAAGGTAATGGGAAAGGTCTCTTGAAGCTCAAAAAATAAAAAAATGAATGTAGCAAACAAAGTAAAAGGACAAAAGAAAGGGAAAGGAAGAGAAGGAAAAGGCAGAGAAGATGGAAAAGCCATGCTACCCGTTATCGTGGAAATGAGTACAACTCATGGCCCTGAAGAGTAGCAGGGGAGCGAAACGATCAGGAACTGGGCTCCAAGCTGGGAAGAGTGGCTGTCTGGACGCAGTCTGAGGTGCCTCCTAAGCCAGGCCTGGCAATCTGCTTCTGAAAGGTCAGAGCTGTGAAAAGACCCACAAGCCACTCTACTAGTGCCCGTGGGTCGCCATGAGTCAGGACTGGCTTGAGCAACACAACAAAGGCACACAGAGAGTCGGAGAAAAACAGAAGCCAAAAACCGCTCACCCAGAAAAATGGCAAAAAGGGAAAATTTAACATCTATCCTAGCTTCCCATATGAAGGGCACTTCAAGGTAAATAAATAGCACAAGCTTGAGTGTTTTATAGGGGAAAAAAATCTAGCTAATAACTGCGAAAAGACTTACAGAACTGGAAAAATGATCACTTTAAAGGTAATGAACAACAGGTTCGAGGAACTGTACAATAGTAAAACCTTCAGACGCAAACGTGAAGGGAAACTTTTAGGATCAAGCTGGCGCCCTGAAAGCTCCCTTCCTTCTTCTCACCACTGAGCAAGGGACACAAAGGTAGGTCCTGGGGGCTCCTGACGTGGCTGGGCATTGCATTTACAGCAAGCACATTGCATTTACAGCAAGTGCTCTTGCCAAACAGTTGAACCAGGAGCTAATCAAGCTTCTCACGCAAACTTCCATTTCACAGGAAATGTAGGGAGATGAAGGAACAAATTCAGTATCACAAATCAGACACACACACACCAGAAACCCATGGCATGAAAGACTGCAGGGAGACTTGAAACCACTGAAGAGGCAAGTGGGGTCTCTCGGCAGGGCTGCTCTAAGAAACTCAATAAATGAAAGCGAAACAAATATGATGTAAGAATCAGCTCTGAATTTGGACTGGAATAATTCAGAAATAAAAGGCTATTTCTGAGATAATTGGGCAAAGTGATATATAACCTGGGTATCACATGACACTGCTATTTTCTAGAAATCATGAACCAAAAACCGAGCTTCATAATAAAATATTAGTAATGCTCAAGAGCCCACACTGACACGGTACTCCCAGGCCTCGGGAAACTCACGTGCTGGGACTGCTGGTGGAATCGTAGGTGGCGGCACAACAGGTGGTGGAACTGGAGGTGGCATGAAACCTACAAGGAAAAGACCAGAAAAGAAACAGTAACAAGAAAAGTACTTGGTTAAACTATGGATTTCAAAATCTAGAATAAAGAGACCTTTCATTACTAGGACTTGTATTTGTGTGCAACGTTTCAGTTAGCATTACTTTTAAATTCTCTCGTTGTTAGCTGCCATTGAGGTGGCCCCTGACTCAGGGCGACGCCACCCCCACCCCCCCACCCCACAGAATGAAAAACTGCTGGTTAGGTATCAGATCATTGGGTTCCATTGGGTTCTTCTTTGGTTGATGTTTCTGAAGTTCATGACTGAGCTTTTCTTTCCTAGCCTATCTGAGATGGGAAGTTCCCCTGAAACCTGCTCAGTCATAACAACATACAAGCCTCTAATGATAGTTGCACATGGAATGTCCTGGCTGAGAATCAAACATGGGTCCCCCCACAGAAGGTGAGAATTTTCCCACTGAATCACCAAAGGCCAACTAAGTAAAGACGCTCAAAGCTATCATGAGATTGGACTGATTGACTTATCCTGTTTATGAATCACTGAAGTCCTGTGGCATTCTCTAAGATGCTGTAAAGTCAAACATCAAGATAAGCCCAGTAATTTGGTTATCAGCTAGCACAGTTAATGTCTGGGAAGTTCGTTTTCAAGCTACTGTAGGTCACATTATAAGAAATGATGTCAACGTGCCAAATAAGGTATCATATTCCTTCAATACATTGATTATTTGGCCACTAACTCAGAATATTTTATTATTGGCCTTTTTATAATCTTTAATATGAAATTGCTAAACTGCTAACATTTTTTAAAAGAGAATCAATTAACAAAACCAGTAGAAAACAATGGCTAAAAAGGGGGACAACTAGAGATACTTCTTCAGCAAATGAGTAAGAGGCAATGACTTTATGAGGCATAGTGATCGGTAAGGTTTCTCAAATCTTGTATAAATCATACACGAGTTTTAAATCACAAATACAGAAAGTACTTTTCAAGAGGAACTTAAAAATGATAGAATATTCTTACTAAAACCTTCCTATTTCAAATTACCAAGCCATCATTTTAAATTTTATGCTATATGACAAATAAGTGACAATTACTCTCAGACAATTAATCAACTTTTTAGTCTTACTGGGAAACTTAGACAATGGTTGAGAACTTAAAAGAAACCAAACTACTTCTAACCTATAAATAATTCATAAAGTTCAAAGAAAAACAACACAGTTCAAGCCCTTTTGAATGTTTCCTTCAGTCTCCTAACTTCCCTTGGTATAATATTGAAAGTTCTATTTATAAGCTTTGCATGTAATATAGTTGCACGATATGCTAAGGAAATGTCCATTTTTACCTAGAAACATAGTTCAACACAGGAAACATGATAAAAAAGTATTAAGTTTAAAAAAGTGGTGTAAATTCAATGAATACTTTCAGTATTTTAAGATACTAATTTCTAACGTTGAACATGGAATTAAATGAGTTTTAGGAGAAACAATCTAAAGAATTTAATACAAACTTTTTTGATAAAACAGGTAATAGTTATAGAGAGCTTTCATATAAACACAGGAGAAAGTTCAGGCTTCCTACTCTTGTAGAGAGTTACAGTCTGCAAATCCATAGGTAGGGGCACTATGAGTCAGGGGTCGACTCAATGGCAGTGAGTTCATATGAAAACTTCAGTGTAAATTTTAGGGACCACTTCAATGATTTGAAAGATTTTGACTTCCCTTTTCATCCCTACTTTTCAAAGCTTGGTCTTCAGGAAGCCAAAAGCCTAATTAGACGACATCTGAGATGCAGTGGTCCCTGCAGGTGACCCTGACGCATGCAAACTTGAGAGAATCATTGTTCGATGGTATTTATGTCTGGAAAGAGGACTCTACACAATAGTCTAGATAGAATTCAAATGATAAGTATCACCAGATGTCCTTACCAGGAGGAGGTTGAGAAGGATTAAAACTTGCTCGAAGAAAAGGAGGCGGGGGCCCCAACGGGCTGAATCCAGGAGGAGGAACCGGCATGGACACAGGAAATGCTGGGGGGACTAAGCTGACAGCAGGAACGGCGGGTGCGACAGGAATCTTTGGTGGGAAAAGAGTAAAAACATTTTATTTACCGGGAGGATCACATCTTAAAGCAAATAAAGGTACAGTATTTCTATTTATGATTTAGAAAGAAACGAAGGAAGACAATTACGACAATATACCAATGCTACACTGAACCACCACCATTGAAAGGATGTCAGTAGCAGCTTTAGAATGGTCTGGGTTTCTCTTGCATTTACCTTCTAATCCCAACACAGCCATCTTCTACCCCCACCACTATGTACAGCAATTGCCAACTGCATCTCTGTATCTTGGGCCTGGGTTTGGGTACTATTGGTGAGCTACTCAACTTTATAACTTGGAAGTCGCCCTTCTGAGGATGCCTTTCTCATGCCCAGATAAAATCTTGCCTCTGCTCCATCTCACAGCTCTGCATCCAGTAACAGCAGAAAGGTTGTGATTGAAAGAAAGTCACCTTCGCAACATGCCTAACATCTGACCAGGGCACCCTTGCTGGCATGATTGCTATCACTTCTGGTCTGAGCTGATACCTCTCACCTCATTGCTCACCATCATCCTATAACTGCCCCCCCCACCACCACCCCGGCTTTACCAATGCCAATGTTCTCAAAACCACAGCAATTCTTGAAACTTTCACTCAAATCAGGTCACTCTTGTTTCTAAACCCCCATCGCCAGCCACCCCTTCCAACACACACATAGCCTTCACCCCTGACCCCTTTGCTGTTCCTGGAATATAACCCAAGCAGCATAGTCCTGGTCCTGAGCCTTTACAGTGCTGGCTGGTTCTGCCCCCTGGAACACGCTCCAGCCAGACAGCCTGTGGCTCGGTCTTTCAGCTGCGGTCCTAGTACACAGGTCCCATAAGCAGCTATCCAGTCATTTTAAAATCAGATCCTCCCCTACTTTGTTCCTTCCACAGGATCTCATCTCCTTTTCCTTATCTGTCTTCTGGCCACTCCATTAGAATGTAAACGTCATACCCCCACTGTCATCAGACCAAGTCAGATTCACAGCAAACGTATATAGGACTTTTGAGAACATAAATCTTTGTGGGAACAGAAAGCCTCATCAATCTCCCCAGCAGCTGGTGGACTTGAAATCCCAACCTTGCAGTCAGGAGCCCAAACGCTCCCCAATGGTACCACCAGAGTTCTTGAAGGGAGGGACTTGGTCTCTTTTCTCAGTGCAGGGCCCCGCTAGCCCAGGTGCCTGGGATGGGGCTGTCACAGGGTAGGGCAGCCCAAGTCTCATTGGCTCGCTTAAATCTGCGAATGGCACCATCTAAAATTTTTTATTCATTATTATTCAAAATCAGTTGGACTAAACTATTGCGTAAAATGACTTATTGTTCTATCAGGAAGACTTCTCAGACTCAATGGCACGCAACAACACAAAAGAATAAATCTAAAGAAAACAACGATTACGCAAGTTTTCAGAATCAATACTCATGCTGCATATCTACCAACTTTGTTTTCAACTTACTATCATTAGCACAACAATAATGACAATGAGAAACTGTATTTGGAGAACATTACAGATTTATTTAAAACTGCTGTGTCCAACACTATTGGCAAATATTTCAATTTGGACAATTTCCTCCAGGTTTTAAAGTAAGTATGTGCATAACAATGTGCATATATAAGTGTTCCCCACACCATCAGCCCAGCATTAACCTGTAACATGGCCACAGGGGGCGCGAAGACCTCAGCCTGGGTAGTCACCACAGTCTCCTTCTCCACGGGTGGCGGCGGGCTCTGCGTAGTCGTAGGGGCTGGCTCTTTCACAGGTTCAGCAGTTTTTACCGTCTCCCACTCTACAGAAAAGATTTGAAACTGAGTTCCACTGGGTTTGTGCACCTCTACATCTGTTTCCTATTAGGGACAGGCCTCACCCATGTTGGAAACTAGTAAAATCACACATTTAGGATGTGCTTACAATTGCCCAAAGTGACCTAGAGCTGCACTCGTGAGACAGAAATGAAGGGCACTCAGATGTGTGGTCTGCAGTGAACACTAAAGACAGGGGACAGTGGACCCCTATCTGAAAAGTGGTCTGCGAGAAGATGGACAGCTTTATTCCATATTTTATCGAAATGTTCAACAAGGGAACACCCAACAAGTTTTCACTTGACTCAGAAAGGTTTTTCAGAAAATAGGGCCATGCAAAACTGTCACAAAGACCTCTCAGGATGACCAAAGTCCCCGTCTCAGTCAACATATGGGTCACTCATTACAGAGGACTCAGGGCATCCATGTGACGTCACCCTTTATAACTCTAATGTCTTCCCCTGCTCATCTCGGCTCAAGCCCAATTGGACGCAGACTTTGCACTTGCTATCCCCTCTGCCCTTTTCCTCAGAGCATCACCCTCTTGATAAAACCTTCTACAATCAAGTACACACGGCATTCTAACCCCCAATCACACTGTCTGGTTTCCTTATTTGATCTTCATATTGCTTATCAATACTGTACATACAATACAGTTTATGACCACTTTCTTAATACTACCACAGAAGCTGGCCAACTTTTTCTATGGTATTTTAGACTTCTTTGTAGAGCCCTGGTAGTGTAGTGTTTATGAAGTAAGCTGTGATCTGTAAGGTCTGCAGTTCAAATCCACCAGCTACTCCTTGGGAGAAAGACAGGGCTTTCTACTCCCATACAGTTACAGTCCCAGAAACTCACAGACGCAGTTCTACCTTATCCTATAGGGTCACTGTTAAGTCGGCAGTGACTCAATGGTAGTGAGTTTGGTTTTGAGTTAATCATAACTATTCAATTGCTATTATAATGATGATGATAATAGAGCAACGACAGTCACACGGAAGAGGTAAATAAATGCAGTTGATGGTGTTTCAGCAAATCTGGTAACAGGGTTTGGCACTTGGCCCCACAGTTGGCACAAATCTTTATTTCAGGAACGGATGTCCTAGAGAAACGGCCATTGATTGGGAAGGCTGACAATGAAAAAATAACTAAAAAAACAGCAATACTAACAACTTGAAGGAAAATATTTTCTTTGGCCTGAGAAATATTCTGAAAATTAGTCAAATAAAGTATAATCTCAAATTTCTTTCTCAACTAGCAATTTAAAAATTTCTACTGACTATAACTGCTAATCATGCTGTGAATTTATAATAAAGATATTAAAAGGGGGGGAGTGGCGGCTGCAGGGGTTAGTCATTCGTCTATAGGTATTCTAGAAGGTATTCAGCATGAACAGGGACATCTCAACATGAAAATTCAATTCTTGCTATTCTTGACATGAATTTTAAACAAAATAACCCGGAGAAATTCTTAAATAAGCATCCAAAATCCCTAGTCCCAATCTAAATTCAAGGAATTAGAAATTGTTTAAAAGCTTCCACGTGTAGGAAGTGGCTTCTAAACAGCAAGATTTTGTGAGAAAGAGAGCGAGATACATAGTTGGAGTTGGCAGGTTCATGGACTTCTAAATCACTCTTGATGTCTTGGCACTTGTGAAATGAGATGCAGTAAGCAGCTACAGTGGACGTGGACAGAGTGTATAGTTTGCTCCTCTCCCCACCCCCACCCCCGTGTTGGGGGAGGGCAGGGATGAACCCAGAGAGCACAGTAGGCTTAACTTGTCCCCTCAAGCAAAACCTATTTCCATTATAATCTTTCACTCTCAGTCCTTCAAACAAGAAAACCATTTTCCATCTGCGCTTGGGGATTCTTTACCAGTATTGACAGTTTCCTGATCAATCATGCCTCCTTCAGCAAAACCTTCCAGGTCATCCACTTTCACTTTCTCCCACGGTATGTAGGTAACGCCAAGATCCACGTCCCAGAATTGTTTATATTCTGTTTTTACGCCTTTGTTTAAAGCCCAGGCAATCTAGTAGGAATGGGGAGATGATGAAAATAAATATATATTAATAAAACAAGTAACATTCAAAATGATAATTCATGTAAACATAAATAAAATCAATTAAAATAGGCAAAGTTATAATTTCGGGGAGATTAGAAGCCAAAGAAATTTGTTCCATGTTATTTTTTTTTTAAGATAGAAATGGTATTCAAAATATGGAATTTATTTCCACTTCTAACTTTAAATGACATTTCGCAGAAACAATTCAAATCCACGTGTTGAGCTGTTAACAAGGGCAGCAGTTCAGACCCACCAGCGACTTCCCACGAGAAGCACGAGGCTTCTGCTTCTGTACAGATTTATCACATCAGAAACCCTAAGGAACGGCTCTGTCTGTCCTATAGTGTTGCTTGGAGTAAGAACTGACTTGACAGCAGCTTTTGTCTAGGCATTAACACAAATGACAGTTAATTTAGACACCATGTTGACATTCTTCAGGAGGGGAGGCCTGGAGGCACTTAGTGTGTAGGAGGAAGGTCTGCCATAACAACAATGCCCAAGGACAGAGCAGCTCCCTGGGAAGCAGTTACACTGTGTCTAATTTGACTGCCAAAACTCATGATAATCAGAAAAATAAATTACTCCAGATAACAGAATTAAAAAGAAAATTAATCACAGAAAGTACACTGGGCAAACACTCAAGTAACCTCCCGTTTAAAAGACTAAGGTAATGAACACACTCCTGCTCACAGACCTTTCCCTCAAGGCTGGATCTGTGTACACTGAGAAACACAGAAAGGGCTTCTTCCTTCAACGGCGGGTGAAGAAGAAGGTGGGGAGAAAGATGTGGAGAATGGGGTTGTGTGTGACCTCAAAGCTCCAATCAACTAAAGCCCACCTATTGTAGTTCATTTTCAGCCCTAATTCAATACCTCAAGGATGTTAAACAGTTCCTTTGTTACTAGGCTGGCTTATGATGTTAAAAAGATTCATGAATACAGGGGTATTCTAAAAATTCAAACAAACAAGCACAGAGGCCCTCCATCGGACAAACATCAGCCTTTCATACGCACGAGAAAGCTGGCCTCCACCCCACAGCCTTACCTTGATGACCTTGGACCCAATCTTGTACGATCCCGAACTCAGCTTCTGAAGAGCCCGGTATGCATCCTGTCGGTGAACCATGCAGACATATGCACAGCCCCTAGGAGGAATCATCTGTTAAAACAAAAAATTATTGTAGTTTTGGAAAGAGTGAAAGGAAAATTAGATTGGTAGTTATCGTTTAATAAATTGTCGTTTTAGAAAAAGTACACAGATAGTGATTCATTTGGCACTCTATAGATGAAATAAAAGAGAACATCAACTAATGTTTATATGCTACAGCATGCCATGGTGTCATT